TTGGCCCGCCGATCTGCGCGCGTGAGCATCTGCATGCACGCGCGCGCGTGAAAGCACGCGCCTTGGCCGAGCGCGCCCCGCGCTCGGCCCCGCGCGATTCGCGCGACCACCTTACCGCTCCAATTGATGAGCTTAAACTCTGAGGTGCTTGAAAGGTAGTCCTAATCGTACTTTGCTCCATCACGCGCCAAACTCTGCCCTTTTCTACTCCATGCAACCCTCCCATTCTGTTTCATATAAGACCTTGTGACTGTCTTTCTGGCGTCTCTTCGCCGACTGCAAGCCCGACTTGTTCGGAACTGGCTCTAAGACTATCCTGCGCCTTATTGCAGTGAAACTGAATCGCGAACGACCTCCAGCCCACTGCTACCGCGCCCCATCAACTCCTAATCGATGATGGTATCAAAATGGGTCACGCCTTGTCCGGTCAAAAATGCCCCTCGCGCACTATACCGCACGCGATTGCCGATGGGGGCCCGGTGGCCGGACGCGGGATGCGCTGGTCTACGCGCGCCACCCTTGAATTGCTGGAGGGATTGGGCGGGGAGGACGCGCAAGGATCGCGCGCGGGGGCGATGGGGGGCAAAGTTGGGGGGGGGGAGTTTTGCAGCGAGATCTTGAATGCCAGGCGGCAACACATACTCATCGGGCACAGTTTCTGGACGCCGGCATCAATATGGAAACGAGCAAAAATGCAAATTTGCATGGCTATTGTCGGCCGCTCGGAGGGCACTCGTCGAATTGCTCACGCTGCGCGCCAATCTAATCGCAACGCCGCGTCATCCACTCCACGATACCAGCGCGCGGTCGACCCTCAGCGCGCGCGCTGCGCAAGGCGCGTCGCCATGGACGCGCGCCGCTGCTAAAACGCGATAAGGCGCGCCGCCGCCGCCACCTTGTGCGGCGCAACAATTGATGGTGGCGCCGCGCGGCGCACCATGCTTGCAAGCCGCGTGCGTCGCACGCTCGCCTGCCATTATACCCAGAAATCGATTCCAAGACTACCGGTGGGAGAGCTTGAACATGACATGAAAACCGCACATAGGAATTATTCCCCGATCTCCCAAATAAACAATATGAAAATACATGCTCGACTGAACAAGACTTCCAACTGGCTCGGCGTCGTCGTTGCTGAGCCCCCAGCGAGGTTGTCGTTCGCCAAACAGTTGCAGCGCGAGCCCACGCGAATGTCAGTGGACTTGAAGGGGATCTTGCGACCGCGCGCGAACTCGACGCACATGTACGGCGCAAAACAAAATATGCCCCCTGAAGAAGCGTAGATCGCACTCGGCTTCCTCCATCGGATAGCCAGAGCGTCTCCTCGAGAAACCAGACAGCCCTTGCCGAAAGCCGCAGACACCCCGCCACATGCCCAAGACATCTCTCAGGGGGCAGAAGGAAGGAAAGGGGGGCGGCGCCCCAGAGGCCCGCGACGCCCCTCGCGGGGGGCCCATCAGAGCCTTTTAGATGGCCCAAGATAGCCCTCGATACCTTCCGCTGACAGAAACCGCCGCAACGCAACGCAGGCGCGCTGGATGGCCACGCGCGCGCGGGGGGCCCAAGGCACGCTGGGAGACCGCAAGGGCCCGCTCTCCCCGCGCCCCCCTTCGCCCCCCCCTCCCGCCCTCTGCGCCCGCCCTTCAATTTGTTTCGCGCCCCCCCCCTTGCCCCCCCGCCCCCGGGACTTCCCGCGGCGCTTCCGCGGCGGCGGGGCAGCGCTGAAGTTACCCCGCCGGCAGCCGCCGACCATCGGGAGCACGGCGACAGGCGCCGCCCAGCGCTCAAGCGGGGCGGGGGCGCACAAGGCGACCTCGAGCATCAGGGCGCGCGCGAGAACGCCGAGGCCGAGATCGGCGACGAGGAAGACGGGTTCCCAGCGGGCACCGGGGCCCGCGGGAACCTGACAAGCAGGGGCGTCGCAGACCAGCGGCCGCGCGCGGCGCGGCGGCGCGACCGCGAGACCACCTGGGCAACGCTGGACCAGCCGAGGCGGATAAGCGGCGCGGGCAAGGGTGCTCAGATAACGCGCCGCGCAGCCGACATTCGCGGCGCGGCGGGCGAAAGCGATCCGATCTCCTGCTCGGCGCCCGCCCCGGAAGACGAGAGCGTCGATGTCCCCGCCCTGTGGGGCTGGGCCATAGCGGCGCACGAATCGCGCGCGACCGCTCGCGCGGGAGAATTGCGCGCGATTTCTGAGGGCGCAAACAACCTGATCATCTACTGATTGGTGGTGGCAGAAAACGCAGGCTGACATTCGGCGCCGCCCTTTCTCCCAGAATCGGCACGGACTGCATGCGCCATTCATCCCGCGCGCCCGCATGCTCCTGTTGCGAGCGATCTCTGGCCAGGCCGCCCTGCCTCTGGGGGCGGCGCCGCTGGAAACGCAGCCGCCAGATGGTCAGAACGCGCCAAACTAGGGCCCCTCCCCCCCGCGACCCCTTTTCGAGGCAGAGGAACCGCCCCAGGTATTCGGGGAGCAGTGGCTCTGAGAAAAGAGGTGGGCTGGAGCATTCGACAAAAACCCGCGCGTCCTCCCATGGCCGCGGCTCGCAGCAGGGGGAGCCCCCAAAAATCGGAGGTTGGGGGGTGAGATCGCAATGGAAGGGAGACCCCCGAGCGGGAAATCGTTTCGTTTCGTTCGCGTCGTGCGTGCGGGCGAGGCGAAACTGCGTGGGCGCGCGAAAGGAATAAATCCGCCGCTGCTAAAGCGAAAACCAAACAAATGATCCCCCCCGTCCGTCCGTCCGCCCGTCCGTCCGGCGGTGGCTCGAGGTGCCCCGCAATGTCCCGCGGTGTCCTGTGTTGCCCCGTTGAATGAGATTGATAGTAAAATCGGTAGTGAGATCGATAGTGAGATCGATAATGAGATCGAGCGTAAGATCGATAATGAGATCGATGCGGCGTCCCGAGGTGTCCCGCGGTGCCCCCAAAAGTAGAAGCGATAATGAGATCGCTCGTGAGATCGACAAGTGCCCCGTGGTGTCCCGTGGTGTCCCGTTGGGTGAGATCGATAATAAGATCGGTAGTGAGATCGATACTGAGATCAATGTGGTGCCTCGAAGTGTCCCGAGGTGACACAACAAATGAAATCGTTAATGAGATCGACACGTGTCCCGCGGTGTCCCGTTGAGTGAGATCGATAATGAAATCGATAATGAGATCGATAGTGTGATCGACGTGGTGCCCCGAGGTGTCCCGTGGTGGCCTATGGCGCCCCGTTGAGTGAGATCGATAACAATATCGATCGTGGAACCGATAATGAGATCGAGAGATGTCCCGCGGTGAGATCGATAGTGCAATCAATAAATGTCCCGTGGAGTCCCGTGGTGTCCCGTGGTGCCCCATTGGGTGAGATCGATGGTGGGATCGATTGGGCCAGACGTTGCCCCCCCCCCCCCCCCCTCCCCCCCACGCAACCTCCCTATCACCCGAAGGGTGATCGTATAGGTATGCGAACCCACGCCTGGATCAGGCATGTTTTATTTTCGGTCCTAGGGGCCGCGTTTTGGTTTGTTGTGGCTTTGTTGTTGCTTCGATTCGTTGTCCTTCCTCCACCGTACATATATACACATATATCGGAGGTTGGGGGGGTGAGATCGAAGTGGAACGGAGAGCCCCCCTACCGGGAAATCGATTACGATTTCGTGTTCGCGCGCGCCGCGCGCGCGGGCGAGGCGAAGCTGCGTGGGCGGGCGAGAGGAACCGGACCAAATGATTCTCCACCGGGGCGCGGGGCCGCGCGGCGCCCCGCCGGCGCCCCGGCGGTGTCCTCTGTGGCTGAGGCGCGGCCGCGCCAAATGATTCTCCACCGGGGCGCGGGGCCGCGCGGTGTCCCGCCGGTGTCCTGGTGGTGTCCCGTCGGTGTCCCGTCGGTGTCCCGATGATGATGTTGATGATGATTATGATGATGATGGTGATGATGATGATGGTGATCATGATGATGTTGATGATGGCGGTGATGATGAAGATGATGATGATGATGTTGATGATGATGACGACGTCGACTGTGAGATCGATTGTGATCGGAGGTTGGGGGGTGAGATCGAAGTGGAACGGAGAGACCCCCTACCGGGAAATCGATTTCGGTTTCGTGTTCGTGCGTGCCGTGCGCGCGGGCGAGGCCCCGTGCACCCACCAGTACATGCTAGGCTTTGCCAGCCGCTCTCTCCGAGCGCGCCCCGTTCTTTCGGGCGGCCGCGCGGGCTCGCCGCCGCGGCTGGAAGCGAATCGAAAAACTAGGGCGTCTGGGCCCGTGGAGTTCGGCCGTCTACATAAAAAGGGATACGCCGACAGGACGCCGGCGCGGGCCCCTGGGAGGGGTTCCGGTTCCGTTTTGAGGTTGGCGCCGAGGTTCGGTCGAGGTTTCCTGGCCCTCGGAGGCCCTGCTCGCCGCCGCGGCTGGAAGCAAATCGAAAAACTGGTGCGTCTCGGCCCCTGGAACTGGGCCGTCGGCATAAAAAGGGATACGCCGACAGGATGCCGGCGCGGGCCCCTGGAGTCGTCGTTCGCCGTCGCTGTTGGAGTCGGCGCCGGTGCGTCCCTGCTAGGGAGCCCACAAAGGACGTACGCGCCCAGCTATGCACATGAACACGGCCCCTCGATCCCCGAGACCGGCCGCGTTATACGAACATTTGCGCAATGCATACTCTCGAAACCAGCGTGGATTCATGTACGTGCACGTCCTATTGTCGCTCCTGACCTGCAGGTTCCCTTGGGGACTCCTGAATCGTTCCCGGGGCCTTGTTGCATCATCGTGCCGTGCTGTATGCTGTGCCGGCGTTGACGCCGTCAGACCGCAGCCCATCGCGGTTCTGTGCTCGGAGAGTTCCCGCGGACCTTTGGCCCGTCCCGCGGCCGTGGCCGCCGCCGCCCGCATGCTCAGACATGCGCTGCCTGTGTCCCAGGGCCAGGCTTTGCCAGCCCCAGGGACAGAGGCACCCTGCGCGGGCTCGCGCAGACTCGCGCAACGATACGAGTACAAGGACACTTCCTTCTCGGGCATGGTGGAACTCCATCCTCAGCGCCTGCTGACTCGGGAGGAGTTCAAGACGAACTTGCTGGCAGCACCAGGCGTGCTGAAGGTCTCTGTGCTTCCAAATATGTTTGTGGCCACTCGGCGTTTGGGTTGGCCATTTGAGATTTCGGGGTCTTCGGGGGCCTCCGTGGGAGGAGCCATCTTGAGCCATCTCCAGTTATCTTGAACCATAGTGGAGGCCAAATGGGGTTCCCCGGGAATGCTTACGAGGGTGGCCCCCAGGTCGTGGTCAAGAGCTCCAAGACCTCGCAGGGCAACCGAGGCGACCACGTCTTCGAGCAGAACCTGGAAGTCCACCTGCATCGCGAGCCCCATGTAGCTCTGGAGTTCGAGATCACGCGGAACAACCACATGAAACACATGGAGGGGCGCCCTTACACTGAGACAGCGATGCTCAAGGACCCCTTCCAAACGGCATCGCGCGGCGGCGTGGCGCGTGCTCTTGCGCGCCGTCAAGGGCCGGGGGCTCCCTCCACAGCATGCCCGCGACTACTGCAAGAGCTGCCTGACGAGACACGGCACCTGGGAAGACGACGTGCTCCCAGAGGGCCTGGAGGGGATCCCGCTTGAGCCAGGCTTTGCCAGTCCTGCGGGGTCTTCCAGCTCTCCGACGTAGGCGCCAAGCCTTCCAACAGCGCCAGGCCTTGCCAGCTCTCCGACGCAGGCACCGAGTCGCAAGCCAACGTTCCGGCATCCTTTCCAGAACGCCCCCGCGATGCCCGGGGTCCAGGCGACAGCCTCTGCGGCGCGGGTGGAACCCTGCCCCACCGAGTCGGCCTCAATGAGTCAGGGTGGCCGCGGGGTCCCGCTTGAGCCAGGCTTTGCCAATTCGCGGGGGTGGAAGCTTCAATGAATCAGGGCGGGGCGACCGGGCCTCCTGCCAAGAAGAGTAAAGCGGCGCCCGGGGGTGCCGCGATCGCCCCTGCGGCGCAGGTGAGCGGAGGGGCGCGTCAGGCCTCCTGCCCGGAGGGCCTCAGATACTGCGAGGCTGGGGTCGCGGAGCTGAGAGCGTTCGGGCGGGGCGGGAACATTGCGCCGTCGGTCAAGGCCCAGGACCTTCTGCTCAAGGGGGTCGAGCGCATCTCGGACGTCTTGCCTGAGGGGCGCGATTTGGACGGCACCGAGTACGAGACGCCAGGTGCGGAGTTCAACCGCTTCGCGGAGATCGCGGAGGATGCGCGCGTGCGCATGCGGACCGAGTTGGAGGCGGCAAGGAGGCCAGCGGGCGGAGAGCAAGCGGTGGCAGGCGAAGCCCAGGGGTCGGGGCCAAGCTTTGCCGGCCCGGCGACCCAGGGGCAGAAGAACGAGGACAAGGCGGATGCGGAGAAGACGCCGCCAGGGTTCGACCCCGAAGCCGATTGGACAGAGGATACGGCGGACGTGCACCAGTTCGACATCACGGCTGACCTGCGCGAGGAGCAGGCCGGGAAGCCCGATGGGGGCCTGGCCGCCGCCCGTGAGTCCAGGGAGGTCCGCGCTGCACTCGGCGCCGAAGTTCTTCCCATCCCGGATTGTTTGAAGCTTGTGCAGGGTCAGCCGATGGCCAGCAACGCCGCCCTGGACGATGTTCGTGCTATGAAGAGTCGCGGTGTGGAGCACGTGCGGCACCGAGTCATCGATGAGCCCGACGATCCCGAGGTGCAGGACAACATCGACAGGATGCGCCGCGAGGCCTGGGAAAAGCACGAGGAGCGTCGGAGGACATGTGCCCGTGGCCTGGACACGCGGGACATGTTCTTGGGCCGCGAACTGGTGTGCGTCAAGCTGGTCAGTGCCGGCGCGGTGCCCATGACTCCGAACGAGTTTTTAAATGCGGCGTCTAAGGTCTCTCTGCGTCAAGGATCTGTCGCGGCCACTTCCAAACACGCAGGCACGGGAGGGCCGCTTGCGCATGCTCGAGCTGCGGGAGCATTACCAGACGTTGTTCAAGGAGCTCCCGGATAAGGCAGCGCAGAAGTTTTCGCCGAACCAGCTGGGGGACGACGACGGACCATCGAAAGCGCTGGTGGGTTTGGTCAATCACCACTCTGGCGAGGTGGTGGAGCTGGACGGGTGCAGAACGCAGTGGTGCCTTCGCAAGGTCGCACCAGGCATTGCCAGTGCCGCGCAAGTCGAGAATCCACAATTCTGGCGCGTGCAAGGTGGTTACGCCGTGGGGCGACGCCCGGAGGGGCGGCGCGAGTACGGCCAGCGCGGGTCCGAACTCTTCGCCAAAGCCGTCGACGCACAGGCCCAGCGCGAAGCCGCCGCCGCGAACGAGGGCGAGGACATCAACCCACAGGTATACACGCCCGCCTGGGCCCGCCAGTGGAGCAGGGCATGCGTTCCGTGCGAGGCGGTCGAGACGCGCGAGTGGTGTCGGCAGAGCCCCGTCACGACGCTGGGGGAGCTCTTCTGGGACTTGGGCCGGACGCACACGGCCAAGGCCATCTACGCCTTCCACAGGACGCTCTGGCTGGTCGCGTTGAAGAGGGACAAGAACAGTTCCACCAAGGCGAGCAGTGCGCCAGGCTTTGCCAGCGCATCTCGGCCAGCCGGGTCGGCAACTGCTTTCGGTTTCACAGGGTCCGACCTCCAGGCGCCCCGCATCCGCGCAGATTACTCGTGCCCGGCGACCAACCGCGAGGTGATCGTGGAGGACTACATAGAGGCGGTGGGCTTGTCCACAGCGTACGTCAGCTCCAAGACCAAGCAAGCGTTGCTGGACGAGGCTGCGAAGTGCGCGACGTTGGCGCTGCTTCGGGACATGCGCCCGCCGTGGCTGGATCGCGTGTTCCCCCGGGCCTTGCCAGGGGGTGGCTTGTTGTCCAAGTTCACCAGACCGTCTTTCCTCTCCTGGGGCGCCAGCTTCCTCGACGTGCTTTTCGGCACCGCTCTGGGAAGCGATCTCAACGACCAAGCGGTCAGCGTCGACTACCAGCTGGCGGGTGTCATCGCGCGCCTCCTGTATACGCACGCATATCGTCGACGCCAGCACCGGAGCAGCGTGCGTGAACGTCGCGTCGATGTCAAGGCTTTTGCGGGACACCGCGGGTCGGGGCCACTACGCGTGCAAGGAGTGTGCTGAGAGGAAACAGGGCGCCGATGAGACGCCGGGCTTTCCCAGTGTTGCCCTTCGCGCCATGTACTTGTACCCCGCGGTGTTCGGGCCGGATGGCGAGCCCACGCCGCTTCGCGCGATGGCGCCCCATCGCGTGTTCGCGCACGCGCCTCCGGAGAATTGGGGGTGGGGCGTCGAGCGAGTCCAGCGCCACGTGGTGACCCAGGCGAACCCCGCGATATCCACGGCCACGCCGACATGGTACACTTACAACGCGGAGGAGAGCGAGGCCATTTGGATCGCATCCAGTGCGTACAATGCCACGCCGCCGAGCAAGACGTGAATGGAAGGGGGGCACTGGCTGCGCCAGGCTTTGCCGGCGCTTGCAGGATCCTGCATCATGAAGGATATAATTTTTGATTTCGCGTAGGCTGCGCCAGGCTTTGCGTTTGCCAGGCTGTGCGTAGGCTGCGCGTGGGCTTCGCCAGCGACCGACCCCTGGAGTCGGTCTGTCTACATAAAAAGGGATACGCCGGCAGGACGCCGGCGCGGGGCTCTTGGAAAGGCGTCGGGTCCGCCGACAAGACGCCGGCGCGGGCCCCTGGGAGAGGCCTCGGGTCCGTTTTGAGATTGGCGCCGAGGTTAGGTCGGTTTCCTGGCCCTCGGAGGCCCTGCTCGCCGCCGCGGCTGGAAGCGAATCGACAAACTGGTGCGTCTGGACCCGTGGAGTTGGTCCGTCTACATAAAAAGGAATACGCCGACAGGACGCCGGCGCGGGACCCTGGGAGGGGCCCCGGTCCAGTTTTGAAGTCGGCTCCGAGGTTCGGCGATGGTTTTCTGGCCCTCGGAGGACCTGCTCGCCGCCGCGGCTGGAAGCGAATCGAAAAACTGATGCGTCTGGGCCTCTGGAGTTGGGCCGTTTACACAAAAAAAGATACGCCGACAGGACGCCGGCGCGGGCCCCTGGGAGGGGTCCCGGTCCCGTTTTGAGGTTGGCGCCGAGGTTAGGTCGAGGTTTCCTGGCCCTCGGAGGCCCTGCTCGCCGCCGCGGCTGGAAGCGAATCGAAAAACTGGTGCGTCTGGGCCCCTGGAGTTGGTCCGTCTACATAAAAAGGGATACGCCGACAGGACGCCGCCGCCGTCGCTGTCGCAGCAGTTCTCATCAATTGCATTTGCACCATGTGCAACCCGACAACGGGAGGGAGAGGAGCCTCAGCAGGCCTCCGAAAAAAAAATCTCCACTGGAATCGTCAGGAGAACAATCACCACTGTTGCCGATTGCTCGGCCCCTCCACCCCCCCAACCTCCTTATCACCCGCAGGGTGGTCGTATTGGTATATATATATATAGATTTATATATATATATATATATATATATATGTATATATATGTGTGTGTACGCATACGTATACATAAAAACAATGTGTAGCATCATTACTCGTATTGATCGTCTTGTTTCTATGCTTGGTACTACTCTCGACGAATAGTTCTCCCATTAGAATCCGTCACGATGGCCCGAGAGTTTCTCAAGACGGTGGAAAGGAAAAAGGAAAGGGAGGAGGCGAAGACGGAAACAAGCGGGGAAGAAGGCCGACAAGGGAGGGACTGGCGGAGAGAAGAGCAAGAGATAAGAAGACAGAAGAGGACTGATGAACTGAAGCGAAGGAACATAAGGAGGCGTAGGCGGAGGAGGATGGGGAAGAGGAGGAGGAGGCATGGAAACAATTTCTGTATGTAAGAGGGCGGGACGAGAACGAAGGCGCGCCCGCGAGGACGTCGACTGGGCGCACTCAAGCCGATCTTGCGGTTGCCTTGCCGCTTTCTGGTAGGGTCTCCGCATCGTTCAGAGCATGACTGGGGGACTGCTTTGAACGATGCGTGTTTTTTCCTTTCAAACGGTTGCCAGTGCACTGCGTTGAAGCGTTTCCCTAATCAAGGGTTTTTGGTGGGCGAGGCGCCCTTGCTCCCCCAGTGGGCCGCCGCGCGGGGTGGTCCGGTGTAGCCGCGGCCCAGGGTGACGTTAGTTCTGGGCCCCCGACGCAAGAACTGGCAGCTACCCCTGACCCCCCGAACCCCGACGATTCGGGATTGGCTGGGCACCCGAATCTTTCGGGAATGCGCTGGTCCAGGGGAAGCTTTGGTTTGGGCCCCTGGTGCGCGACACAGGGGCTACCCTTGACCACCCCAGCCCCGACGATTCGGCGCTTTGACCCAAGGTGGCGCCGCCAATGCTTGGGCCACGTATCACGCGTGCCAAAGCGTGTGTGCAGCTGGCGTCTCTGTCCACAGGCGCGCAGAAAACGGATAGCCCCGCCTTTCACGAGGTCCAATCGAGGTCCCCGCAGACCGCGCCACGGGGAAGGGTAGTCTCCCCACCCCTGCTCGCACAAGCGGGCGCTAGTACCCCGCGCGCCCGGACGGACACTCCGCCCGAACTGTTGTGATCCCTCTCTCTCTGTTTGATTGTTGTTTCCATGTGTTTGTTGTTTTTGTTTCTATCTCTCTCTCTCTCTCTCCATATAAGTCTCTCCCTCTCTCGTTCTCGCTCTTTCTCTCGCTCTCGCTATCCTCCTATCTCTCTCCCTGTCGCTCAGTCTCTCTGACTCTGCGACACAGCAACAGGCTGAACTGCCGGCAGACAGCGGAGACGTCGGGGAAATATAGGTGTCAGCGGACGAGGCGTACTGGCAAGGTCGAGCTATGCAGCGAGCAAAGAAGCAAACGCACTGGTAACACAAGGGGTGATGGTCGGTGATAAGGAAAAGACACAGAGCGACCCCCCCCGCAACCATGAATGGATTCGGTCTCGTGTCGCTGCATGCTGGTGAAGCAAACCAGCGTAAGGGTGAGGACGATGTTGGCCTCACCTACGTATGGCATGGTGCCTTACACATACTTACTGCAGATGCCCCACGGTTGCTCTGTGGTTGATGCGTGGCTGTCCTGCACAGAAGGGGTTTCCCGTAGTGGACCAGCACGGTTGTCCCATGTTCCTGTGATTGCCCACTGCGGTGATTCAGTGTGGTGGTCAGGCAGACACTGAGAGGGTCAAACGATACAGAAATCACGCAAGAGAAATGTTCGACCGGCTGACCCTTGGTAGGGACGACATGCCAGACGGCACGCTGGTGGTGGGCAAGAGCAACATCTGAGGAAGGTAGTTGTCCGTGCGCTGTACTCTCCACTCTCGACTCTCTCCTCGCTACCTTTTGCGCTCCATCCACTACTGTTCGCCACCGTTCCCCATGGAACGTTGAGGCGTGGTAAAATGCCACGTGCTGTTTGGTAGGGCTCCTGTAATTCTCCAAGCTCCCCCCCTTACCCCAGTCGCACTTGGCTGCATGAAGCGCCCCCTCTTCCCGAGGCCACCACAATCCCTCGCAACATGCAGCAGACTCGCGCTCCCGAGGCCCAGATGCCTCCAAGGCGGCAGAAGATCGCTCCAAGACGGGCGAGTTAAGCCTCAGAACGGCCCAATATGGCTTCAAGATGGCCCACGAGGCCTGCGAGGCGACGCCAAGAGACCCAAGAGCCTTCCCAAGAAGGCCTCGAGAGGCAAACTTCATTGACCGAGACCGAGACAAAAACGACATCGACGACATCTGATTGTTGTGAGGATGTCCCGGGCAAAATCGCAATTTCGGGCAGGAGCGATGTCGGCAACATCTCAGTGGTGTGAGGATGTCCCGCGCGAAATCGTCATTTGTTGGGCGGAAGAAGGGCGTCTTAGAGCCACCTTGTTGGGCTATGTTGGGCCGCCTGGCGGCCTTCCGCAAGCGATACCAAGCGAGGACAATTGTTTGAGGATGTCCCAAGCGAAATTCACAATGTTGGACATTACATCACGGGGGCCTGGGGATGCCAACCCCCTCACCCCCCCCAGAAAAGAAACCAGTCCTTCCGACTGACGGATTGCACGCTATGCGCGCTTTCCGTCATGCTAGATCCACTCTCTCTACTCCAGGCATCCTCTGCTCAGGGAGTCCCAGATTCTGCCCCCCTTTGGATTCGGCAAGGAACTGTCGCGCGTACCTGGCACTGGAAACCGAAGAACTCGGAACTTGAACCGTGCAGCCAGGCCGCCTGCGTGAGCCTTCGGTTCTAGTCGAAGGAGTTGTTCCGATGCGCGTGGGTCCCCAAATTGCCCAAAGGCCCCCGAAACGCCCAAAGAGGACTCATAGAGACCCCCCGAGGGGGCCCAACATGATTCTGTCCAGGTGCATGGCACATGTTCAACAAGTCGGTCAACATCCGACCGTTGGAAGACCGAATCATCGCTCCAAGGCGGCCCAAGAGGAACCCAAGACGACTCACGAGGCGCCCAGAAGGACCCCAAGCACAAGAAAACGGCTCAGGCGGCGCCCAAAACGAGCCCAAGAGCTTCCCAAAACGGACCAAAGAAGGGTGCAGGAGAGGGAACACGAACTGAAATCTCGAGCCCTCCAACCCAAAGTGGCCCCAAGTCCCCCCCAGAGGCCCCCCAAAAAACCCAAGAAGTCATCAAAGAAGCCTCCAGGACACCCCAGGAGCACTTCAAAAAGGCCCCAAAGGGCATTCTAGGACCAGACCCCGGACTGCAACCACAGGCGCCCGACCCACAAACCAGACATGGTAGTGGATGCGCCGAACGCTAAATAACACAAAACCGAAGATATGGAGAAATCGACAAGCTCGCAGACCGGTTTGTCCATTCCTTCTCCTCCTCCCCCTCCTCCTCCTCCTCCTGTTCCACCTCATCCTTCTCCTCCTCTTGATCATCCTCTTCGTTATCCCCCTCTCCGTCCTCCTCCTCTTCCTCCTCCCCCTTTTCCTCCTCCTCCTCCACGTCCTCCTCCTCCTCCTCATCATTATCCCCCTTTTCCTCCTGCACCTCCTCTTCCTGCTGTTGCCGTTGCTGTTCCTTCTCCTCTCCATCCTCCCTCATTGCACATCCCTCCTCCATCGTCCCTTCCGTCATATTTCCCTTCCGTCATATTTCCTCATCGATCGTGTCTTCCCCTGTCCTCTACCACCATGATCATTATCCACGCTGCTTTCGTCCTCCTCCACTCCTTTCTCCTCCTCAGCATCACTATCAGCAACCTCATCATCATCATCACCATCAGCATCATCATCGCAATCCTCCTCATCATCATCATCACACCCATTCCCCGCCCATACCGCCGCCATCGTCCCTCCTCTCAGCTCATCCCCCCCCTCATCCTCTTATTATTCATTCCAGTGCCCCCCCGCATCTTCTCTACTGCTCGTCATCATCCCTCATCCTCCCCACATCCCGCCTCAGTCCTCCTCGTGTCTCCTCCTTCTCCTCCACCTGTTCCCTCTTCCCTTATTCATCCCTTCCTCTTCCCGAATGTTTTCCCATGTCGTCCCAAGTCGGCCGCCTGCCTCACGCCCCTCGCTCCCCCAACTATTTTGTTTCTTTCTCCTCCTCCTCCCCCTCCACCTCAGCGCTCGCTCCTTCTCCTCCCCCTCCGCCTCCTCCTCCACCCCCGGTTCCTCTTCCTCCTCCTCCTCCTCTTCCTCCTCCTCCTCCTCCTCCTCCCTCTCCTCTGCCTCCTCTGCCTCCTCTTCATGGTCCTCGTGACCCCCGTCCTCCCTCTCGCTCGTCGCCCAGTCGGTCCTATCTCCTCGCTCATGGCACCTCGTTTCGCGCCCCTCGCTACACGCTCCTCCTGCGAGCATCAAGACATGTCGAAGCATACACACGCACTATGACCAGCAGGAGCGGCGAGCGCTGAGCGTATAACCGTTTCACCACCGCCACACGGCTGCGCCACAGCGCCGGTCCAGTCCGCCACCGCTGCTCCTCCGGGTTCAACTCGCAACTGCCTCGCGGACGGCAGCGGCACCCGCCGCTCGGTCACCGCCGAAGTTCGTGCGCAACTGCCGCGCCGTCGCGCCGTGCAGGGCGTCGGACAGATCGGCGCCCCAGCGCTGCGTCAGGGTGCTGGCAACTGCGGAGTTGCCCTCTTCCTCCCCCGGCCCCTGCCGTGCCGGCCCCCTGTCTCGAGGGCCACGGCGCGCGCCCCGCCGGATAACGGCGCCGTTTGTCGCCGTCCGCCTCGGCGTTGACGGCGCCGTCCCTCTGGGCCGCCGCTGCGAGGTGCTCGATGTCGTCCGGCACGGAGTATCTGACGGTGGCGTCCGCGAACTGGCAGGGACATCCCGCCGCCTGCGCCTCGAGGTCCTTCGCGCTCGATCTGCAGAGGCGCCCCGCACCCGCTGCACGGCCCTGCGGGCTGGGCGAGCGTTGTGCCCCGCGCGTCGCAGCGCGCGCAGTGCCATTTCCACCGGTCCCACGCGGAGACGCGAACTTGGCGCGCGGTGTGGTAGCCACACTCCCTGTGGATGCGCTCCTACGCTTCTTCCACAGCCCGGCTGCGCGCCACCTCGCCACCACCGCATTCGCACTGGTACGCGTGGTACGCTTTGGAGAAAAGGAGCTCTGCGCATTGCTGGCTGGCTCGCGGGCCCGTGCGAGTGCGTCTCTGGCAGCGGGCGCCGAAGGGCGCGCAGTCCTGGCCCAGCACGGCGCGCGCCGTGGCGCAGCAGTCTGCGTCGCCGAGTCTTTGGCCCGCGGCCCCCAGAGAGGCCAGCTGCCAGCCGGCCGCGTGCAGTCCGCCGCAGGAACGCAGGTTTGCTCGTACCTTGAGGCTTGAAGCGCTTAGCACGCTCCTTCTCCTCCTCCTCCTCCTCCTCCTCCTCCTCCTCCACCTCCTCCACCTCCTTCTCCTGCTCCTCCTGCTCCTCCTCCTCCTCCTCCTCCCCCTCCTCCTCCTCCTCCTCCTCCTCCTCCCCCTCCTCCTCCCCCCCGCCTTCCTCCTCCTCCTCCTCCTCCTCCCTCCTCCTCCTCCTCCTCCTCCTCCTCCTCCTCCCCCTCCTCCTCCTCCTCCTCCCCGCCTCCTCGCTCCTTGCCTCGCTTCTCGGCCCTGGTTCCACGCTCCTCGCTCCTCCCCAGCCTCCTCCTGCCTCTTGAAGACCCTCCCCGCGCCTCCCCCCGCCTCCCCATCCTCCCCCAAACTCCTTCTCCTGCCGAGGAGGCCAGGAGGACGACTACGGCGCCGCTCCTGGTGAGGTCTAGCTTCCTCAGCCGCGCCAGGCCGGACAGGGCGGGCGGGAGGAGCACGGCGGTGGTGCCTCCCCCTTTCGGCCCTGCCCCCTTCCTCCGAAACCCTTCTGGAGTCGTTGTTGCCGCGCCGTGGTCGTCGCCGACGTCGCCAATGTTGCTCAGAGCGGAATGAGGGAGGACGAGAAGGAGGGAGAGAGGAGGAGGATGAGGAGCGAGGAGAGGAGAGGGATGGCCAGGAAGAGGCGGAGGAGAGAGGAAAGTGGCAGGGGAGGAGGGGAACGAGGGGGAGAAGCAAGAGAACGCAGAAGGTGAAGGGCAGGGCGAGTGCGAGGAATACGGCACACCTACCCATTCATGGCATGCTCCCTCGACCGGCTCTTCCACCCCGCAAGGTCCCCCATAGTCGGCGGCCAGCAAGGGGGGGAACTTAGAGGGGGCGGGCCCCGGGCCTTCTCAGAAGGCTCGGAAGTCCCCCGGCCTTATGAGAAGTTTTGTGAGCAATTCCCAGAGTCACAGATCACTTCTCCAAAGCGCGAGGACTTCTCAGAAATCCGGCCGCCTTCTGAGAAGGCCTTCCTCTCCCCACTCCCCCCCCTCGCTGGCCGCAGATAAAGAGCCCCCTGGAACCACGAAGCTCTCAGCCGTGTGCGGGCACGTCGGGAAGCCGATCATGACTACCTACCAGACCACCCCAACCCAACCCGAAAGACCCGAATTTGACCCGAATTTCGGGTTGGGGGGGGTACGGATACCACGTGTTTTTTCAACGTTCCCCGACCCCCCCCCCACTGGAAATCGAGGATAAATTTGGGCCTTCGGGTTGGGTTGGGGTGGTTTGGTGGATGGTGAGATCCGCCACAACGCAAATGCCGCTGTATTTCAACGGCCGCCGTGGCGGATATCCAGCACGGTCCGGCAGTGTTACGAGGCACGACCTGCGCAGGCCGAAGCTCGAGCGATGGGCGTTACCTCGGGCCACTTCAGCTTGGGCATCGGATTCCGCGTGCGGGGCTGAGGATCGTTTAACCGATCCCCATCCCCAGCGGCGTGGCATGGGCCCCTCTGGCCGATGTACCCCCCTAGATGGGGATATAGGTCGTTTCCTTCGGGTTTCGAGGGGTGTATCCCCAACTGGGGTGGTAATTTGGTGGGGGTCTCGAAGGGGATGGAGATGGGGATGGGGATCGGTTAAACGATGCCGAGGGGCAAGGGTGATCTGGGGAGGTTGATGAGGAGTGTGCTGTCAAGGCTCCGTCGGCGGTGACCAGAAAGTCAAGGTGGCTCACAATCACTTGATTGCGCGTTGCACTGTTCCGTGCATTGCGGTTGGCTGCTCCACATCGGGCATCGAATTCCACCTGTGAATCGAAAACGGTGACTGTTGGAAGGTTCAGGGAGAGGGTGGACCGAAGGCGGTGGCGACGGTACTCAGACACAGATGTAAGTTTTGCAAGGTTGCTTCTTCAATGCACTTTGTTGTTGAGCATGTCTATGTTGTGTGCGCTACCTCTTGCTGTTTCAGCTAGAGCTTCGGATTCCGCGAGTGAACCGGGAGAGCTTTCGGGAGGTACAGGAAGAATCGGCCAAAGAACCTACCAAGGCCAGCCCCAAGAGGGTCCGAAAAACCCGCCACTGGCGCACCACCAGAGGCAGACCCATCTACCATGATCTCGCGACCCCAAGAGGCCCCAAAGAGGCCCGAAAGAAGCCCAGGACGCTCACAGGTGGGCCACAAGGGCCCCCCAGGATATTCTCGAGAAGCCCCTCAAGATCCCACAGACATGTCTCCAAGGCATCTGGACACACGAGCCAGGAGCAATTGCGGGATGGACCATTGACTGAATGTTCCCCCTTGTATTAAAGTCGCCACCGCGAAAATGTTCTGCTGCGCCTCTCACGCATGATATTTCCACTATTACGAAGACTTGCTCCACGAGCGGCGAACGTATCCATATCCACGACCTGGCGGTCTTGGTTCCAGGGCACGATCCCTCGGATAAGCGGTCGCAAAGATACCGATAGATACGTTCTGTGCGGTGTACCCAGAAAGGAGAATTAATAATAAAAAAAACGCACGCCATGTGTTCAAGAGGTCGCGGCACAAGGGACTGGCCTGGCCGGCGAGGCCCGTGGATACGGATGTTAACGTCGATCCGAGACGGGTCTCACACGAGATGGCACAGCGACCTTACGCGGTGGCTTACGCGGGCCGCATGCGCGGCACGCGGCGTCGGAAACGAGGGCGCTTGCGCGCGAACTTACGCGGGCAACTTGCGCGCCAGTGTCCGCGCAGACAAATTCGTTGTCCTTCGTCGCTCATGTGCGTTTCGCCCACGAGAGGTCTGGGAGCCCCCTGGCCCCCGCCAAAGATCTCGTCGTAGGCCAGCACGAGCTCCTGGCGGCCGCGGGCGCGGCCGCGAAGGACCCTCGCACAGGGTCGGCCCGAGGGGGAACGCGAGAGCGGCCCGGCAATCGGCGACCCCCATCTATACGGGCCTGGAGGATGAGCAGAGGGATGGGAATAGGGAGGGGCAGGAGGAAAGGGGAACAGGGAGGGACGAGGGAGGGAAAAGGGAGGGAAAAGGGAGGGAATAGGGAGGGACGAGGGGGAAAGGGAGGTGGGGAAGACGAACTCATCCCTTCCTCCACCCCTCATCCCATTTATCCTGCCTCCAGCCCTCTCTCCCTCTCTCTCCTTCTCTCCCTCGCGTTCCCACTCATCCACCACCGTGCCTCTGGGCACCGAGTGGGCGTGTCCTCCTGGGCCCGGACTCCAATTTCCAACAAAATGGCGGGGCTTGGCGTGGCTCCCCTGAGCTTCAGGAAAAGATGGCGCTTTTTGTGTTTCGGCCCAGGGGGCCCCAAGACGGGCGAAGAGCGCATCGAGTCACGCGTGGAGACGCGACAGGTGTTTGAAGGATGTTGGCGTTCTCACCCTTTCGGCTTTACCGACGCTCCAAGACGGCCTAAGATGCCCGAAGGACCACCCCAAAACGGCCCAAGAGGCCTCCAAGAGGGCCCCAAGATGGCCCCAAGACGGCCCAAGAGGCGCCAAAAACGGCCCCAAGGGGGCCCCAAGACAAGAAACACGGACCGAAAAATCAAGCTTTCCGCCCCCAGGACGCCCCAGGAGGCACCCGGCCCCCAAGAGGCCCAAAAGAGGCCCCCAAACGCTGCCTAAAAGGACTCCACACTGCCTCCAAGATGCCCACGAAAGCCCTCCCTCGAGATCCAAACGAACATCCAATAGGCTTCACACTTCACACTCACAACCCAGGCACGGTGGCGGGATGGGCCGAGAGCCGGTTGATCCGCCGCCCCCTGTCGATTCATCGCACGGGTGCTTGGCGTGCTAAATTAGTTCGGTTTTGGTATGGGTTCTGTTTCCAAAAGAACTCCCCCTGGAGATTCGGCCCGTCCCGCCGGGGTCCCAGCAAGCCGCAAGCAATACAGAAACGGGCTCCAAAATGGCCTCCAAGATGGTCCCAGATGGCCTCCAAGTCCGCTGAAGACGGTCCAAGACGGCCTCCAAGACTGCCTCAGAGAGTCCAAGATAACCCCAAGTTCGCCCAAGAAGCCTCCAAGACGCCTCCAAGACGGCCCAAGAGACCTCCAAGAGGTCCTCCAGGAGGGCCCGAAGCGGCCAAAATCATAGATTATCCATAGTTGTTGATGGATTTGGGAATTTGCTTCGTCTCGGCATTCAGACGGCTCAAGACGGCCCAAGAGGCCCCCAAGATCGCCCAATAGGCCGGAAGACCGCTACTTTCAACGACCCAGGGGTGTCGGTACGCTTCTCTTCTCTGAGCCCTGGGTAGAAGAAGAACGGCATAAACATCAACTTTCGGCGTTCCGCGCGGATGTCCTGGATCTGCGCAGGACCTCCCTCCCTGGCGCGCGGAGCGCGCCAGGGGCGGCGTCGGAGGCGCCGCCAGGGTGCTCAAGCGCAGATCCAAGACGACCGCGGGGAGCGTCGAACGTTTAGGCTTATGCCGTTTCTTCTTCTGCCCAGGGCTGAGAAAAGGGAAGCGTACCGATACCCATGGGTCGTTGAAAATAGCGATCTTCCCTCTCCCCAACGAACCGAACGAACGAACGAAGCAGCCGCCGCCTGGAAGCCAGCATCCTTGCAAGGGAGACTGGCGCGCTAGTCGCGCGCAGCAGGCCCTCCACGAAGGCCGCTCGATGTGGAACCTGGCCAAAAACAATTCAAACACGCGACCTTTGCGCGAGGCGTCGTGCGCTCATCGCCAAGCGTGCTGCCCTCTCCCCTGTTTCCTGCTTCTTCTTCGCTTCCCTTCTCTGAGCCCTGGGGCCGGCTCCTCCAAGCTGGACAGCCGCCCCAGCGCGCCAAGCAGCGTCACCTGGCCGTGGGTGGCCGCGCCGCGGGCGGCGGCGGCCGCCGCGGCGCCAGCTCCTCGCGCGGTGGCGGCGGCGACGCGGGCAGAGGCGGGGAGCGCGGAGACGAAGGCGACGCTGGAGGCACGGGCGCGATGACGATGACAGCGGCGACCTGCCATCGCTCGGACGTCCATGCCCCGCGTGAATGTGCGATTTTCGTGCGTGCGTTTTTGCTCGATGATCCAGGGTGCTTCTCGACGGCCCTCGCCGAGAAAAAATGCACACGTCCGAGCGATGCCAAGACGAAGGCGGCAGCGACGACGCTGACGGCGACAAAGATGGCGGCGGCCACGACATGGTCGCGACGGCGACAGCGGCCGCGGCGGCGACGCCCTCACTCGGGGATCTTCTGGCCCGGGTCCATGCAGACCCGGGTCAGTCAGCCCTTGCAGGATATTACAAGATCCTGCTGGATCCTGCACCCAAGCCCAGGTCAGTGCACCCAAGTGCTCAGACCTGGGGGATCCTGCAAGACCCAGTGCTCTGGCTGACCCCCGTTTGCATTGAACCCCGTCTCTTGAGCCCCGACTCACAATCGCCCGCCCCTTGCCGGCCCGGTGGCGCGTCCTGACCAGGAACTCGAGGCGGATGCAGTCGCGGCGGCGAGGGCGCCGCAGGAGGCCCACAAGAGTCGGAAGGCAGTAGAAAACCCGCCGACATCCTCGGGCGTTGACGGCGATTATGCCGACGACGACGACGGCGGCGGTGGAAGACAACCAACAACGCCTTGCGCGTCTGGAGGTACGCCTCTGAAGGCCGCCAAAACTCAGAGGCCCTAAAACGACCAAGGACCTCCAAACACCTGTCCTCGACCCTCGAACCTCCCCAGACCTCTGACGCCGTGAATTTTGTCACCACGCGTGGACACCAGGAAGCTCAGACCACTCCCCCAGGACCAGCATGCATCCGAAACGGTTGTTTGACGGTTCCAGGGCCTAGTAAGGGCCGCTTGACTTCGGAGATGGCCACACACACCATCCGTCGCGACTTCTCCAGGACAAGAGGAGGTCCATGTCGATCCGGCGACAACGATCGGCTCGGACGAGTGGGGGGGTCAAGAAAAAGGTGGGTGGGGTCTCGGGAATCAGGTGACGCAGCTGGCTTCCCTGGCGCCTCCCAGCGCCGGAGGCGCCAATGCATCCAGCAAGGTGCCCGGCGGCGGGGCCGAACCCGGCCGCATGCATCAGACTCCGCACGCCGCCCCTGGCCCGACGAGGGCGAGCAGGACGAGAACGAGCAGGACGAGGGCGGCGACGAGGAGTCTCCTCTCGCCGCCTCTCGGGTCCTCGTCGCCTCGCTCCTCTCGCGCCGGCCCCACCGTCGTCCTCTCCCCATCCCTCGTCATCTGAGTATCGTTTGACCGATCCCCATCCCCAGCGGCGTGGCCTGGACCCCACTGGCCGCTTTACCCCCCTAGATGGGGATATAGGCCGTTCCCTTCGGGTTTCGAGGGGTGTATCCCCAACTGGGGGGTAATCTAGTGGGGGTCTCGAAGGGGATAGGGGCTGGGGATGGGGATCGGTTCAACGATACTGATCATCCTCGTCCTCGCCCCCCTTTTCAGGGCAAGCGTCAGCAAATCGAAGCGCACGCTAATGGCAGCGGGCAGCGGTGACTGGGCGCGGTGCTCCGGCGCGCCCCTTCCAAACTCCAAAAACCACCACCCTCCCATGCCCCCAACCGCTTCGCAGCGCCACCCCGGGGCCCCAAGGACAAAGCTCCTCCTGCTCCTCCTGTTCCTCCTGCTTTTCCTCCTCCTCCTCCTCCTCCTCCTCGTCCCCTCCTCCTCTTCCTTCTCCTCCTCCTCCTCCTCCTCATCCTCCTCCTCCTCCTCCTCCTCCTCCTCCTCCTCCTCCTCATCCTCGTCCTCCTCCTCCTTTTCCTCCTCCTCCTCCTCGTGGCCCCCCTTCCGACCGACCCGCAACGACAATGACCGCGACAACGGCTGCGGCGGCGTGCGCCGAGCTCCTCGCGTCGGCGACGAGGCCGCACGCCGGAGCACTCGCGCCGGGCTGCCCTCCGCCTGGGCGGGTTGGGCGCCGCCGTCGTCGTCGTTGCCGTCCTCGTCGCCGTCGTTTGCGCTGTCGTCGTCGTTGGCGGAGGAGGAGGAGGAGGAGGAGGAGGAGGAGGAGGAGGAGGAGGAGGAGGAGGAGGAGGAGATGGTGGGGATCTGCGAAGATCTGCGATCACAGGGCTCCGCGGTCGAGGGGCCGCCGCGCGTCCCGCGCGTCGCCGCTGCGAAGCTCGCAGCGGCTCGCGCGCGCCCCCCCCCTGCAGTTCCATAGTGAGGCCCGCGCTTGCGAGCTGCGGGGCCCCCGAGAAGCGGGAGCCCCCACTCAACTGCCATCACCAGGGCCCGGGTAGGTGGTTTTGCCCGCCACCAAGGGGGGGGGGGGGGGGGCGCGATCTGCACCCTCCCTCCCAAGGCTCGAGCTAAACGGTTTTCCGTCGATGTCGTGGACCGTTTTCGCTTTGATTGCACTTCGCAGCAAAAGAAAAACAAAGACAAAACGACGGAAAACGACAACACGCAAACGACAAACACTGTGTAGCCCGCCTGGGTGTAGCTCCATGCGGTGGTCGACCTGGCCGCGCTTGTGAGCCGCGGGGGGGCCCCACGAGCGGGCACGCCCACTCCACTGATCCTACCAGGACCAGGTAGGGCAGTTCCAGTCTCAGCTGGTGACTTGCCCATTGGCTGGCTTGCGCCCTCTGGCCGCGCGCTGCATCTTGCCACCGTTCGGTGGCACCGCTCCGTTTGGCCAGTTATGTCCTGAATTCTATGGTAGCCTGGTGAATAGCCTCGCGAGCACCGTCGCTCCGCTGGCCGTGGGGACCTCCTCGAAGCACTCCTTTGCTAGCGGCGTAAGTCGTCCACGTCCAAATCTGGAATGTGACGCCACCAACACGCAGCTCCAGCACCAAAACTGACCACGAACACCTGCAATGCGGTGGCTCGGGTGCACAATCGTCTGGCTGATCTCGATCATTTCGTTGTTATGCACGGGAACGGCAGAACCGTAATATACACGATGCGTGGCGCTGCGCCTGCCAGAGCAGTCAGTATATGGGAGCCAGTACAGTAGGTGGTATTTACCAGGTGGCTTCCAGCATCCCTTGCTTACCCATTGGCCTCTGGCTCGCGTCGCTGCGTTGCTTGTGTCATTTTCCAATTGCTTCCCTTTCCCGCTGGCCGTGTACTTCGGAGTCGGGACGGATCCGTCTAGTTTTGCGCCCTCAAAGTCCTTGGCCCATCTTGTGAATGATCGCAGCGCCTCTCGCCTGCACTCCAGAGAACAGCGTCTTTTTCTTCGCCATCTGCCGGGTTCTTGACTGATGCCGCGCGACGCCTGCTGAGCCACTGGTTGCGCGCGCGTCCGCCAGTTCAGTGGCGAGGCGATCCCGAACGACTGGGCAGCATTTGACATAATGCCCGACCCAAGTCCGACGATTTTAATTAATGTTGTGACATGCTCGCCGTCGTCTTCTTTTCTTTGCTAGGCATGCCACGCGCGCTGCCATCATTTGATCACTTTGCCGAATGGTCGAGCGCAACGCTTCCTGGCCCGACCGTCGCAACCACGCCGGCAGCCCAAGTGGATGTCCATAGGGCTCGGGGCGGGGATCAGGGCCCAAAGAGAGCAATGCTGCGCGCTTAGCTGCTACGACGGACTGCACTCCGCCAACGAAACTTAAAGGAAACGCCGTGTAGATCTGCGTCGCCCAGTCGTCGATTCGCGTTGTGGGAGATGGTGATGTCTATCGCCGGCTGAAAACCCTTGCCGCTGTAATGCTCTTTCTCATTTGCCCACCGTTGCTGGCGCATGGCTCTTGCAATGGCTTGGCTTATCTCGCTGAGGTCGAGGGCCCAGTCGTCTGTGGATTTCCACGCGTCTCCTGTGGAGCCCCCACCTGCGTCACTTGCGCGCGGGATGCATCGAGCCTGCTGCATCGACGGGATAAGCACCGCCATTGGGCCCGAGACTGGGTTCCACTTTACCGCGCTTTATCATGATCTGGAGCCACGAAGCAATATCGCGCCATCCTCGTCGTAGTCGGTCCTGTGATCCGCAATCTGGTCCGCTCTCTGACGCGGCGATTTAGACGCGCCGCGTCTGGCCTGCTGCCGCCATGGGGACTGTGGCGCGGTCAAACACGGCCACTGAATGTCGCCATGAAAACCCTACTGGATAGGACTCCGATTTGCCCAGGCGCCGCGTCGATGCTGAACTCCTTGACATGGCGCGGAGTACTCATGGCACCTTGAACATGCAAAGCTGTTTGGCGGCCTTGAACTGCGCGGCGACGCAAATTGCCAGCAGCGCATACTTACTAGATTCCAACAGTCTTGGGTCAAGGCATGCACACATGTATCCACTGCCGTCAGGAACCACCCCTGGGAAACATCTGGCCACCCTTCCACTCTGGAGCGCAAAGCATCCGAACTCCAGCGCGATTGCCAGCAGGGGGCGATGCCCAAACCGATGCAAACCCTGGTCTGACCTGCGCGATTGGCCGCCGCACATCCCGCCGCAATTCCGCCCCCGAAAAAGACGGATCGCGCACGGTCTTGGCCCGCGTGGCGCACCCTCGGGGATAGGTGCATGAGCGTGCTCGTTAACTGTCGGGTAGCCAAGTTGCATGGCGCGCCGGATGGGATGCCAAAGCCGACCCTGTCGTGGAAATAATCAAAGCCCATGTAGAAGGTGCCAGATTCGGCGCCCTGCTTTATAGCATTGGTCTCGTTTGGGGCCATGGGCAAGGGTGCTGTTCGGGGTGCCGGAACACCCAGCATCGCCGCGCCCCAGTATCCTGCGTTCCCTGAGCACCATTCTTGCATCTCTACCTCCCCCCCCGCTGTCCCCAGACACCGAACGAGGGAGTAGAAGTCCAATTGGCCGCTCCCTGACCCTGCCTCCGTCGAAAAGTGGCACCAGGCATGGTAGAATTGACGTGGCCAGCAGAGGATTCAATAACAAGAACTGGTCACTTATAACAAGCTGCGCACCTCTTGCGTTTGACATTGGTCGCTCCTCTCGCCGTCGTGGGCCCGCGCGTAGTAAGGCCAGCGTCCAGCTCCTCCATGTCAACGAACTTCCGTTAAGGTAATGCTTTTGGCGCAGCTTCATGGATTTCTTGCATGACCAACTCGATTATTGTCTCCACTGTCGCGCCGCCAGATTGTTTGCCAGATGCCTGAGCTGCTCTAGTAGCTTCGCGGAGCGCTGAAGCCTCCTGCGTAGCTTCAAAATGAACAGCTGTATCTAGTTGACCGCGTCTCCATCGGATGCTGAGGTAGCAGTGCACTCCCGCCATGCTGTCTGGTTGTGCTGCCGTGGCCCGCGAGGTAGCTTGCTGACTTGCGCGCTTCCATGCCTGGCGCGACTGCCAGTCAGTTAGCCATGGCACTGCCTCGCGCGCCTCCGCTCAGCCACTGGTTTCTCTGCCGGGGCATCTGGATCAAGACGATGACGCAATTCCCTCGCCCTCTCGGCTAGACGATATGCCTGCTGGTCGAGGTAGTCCGTCTCCACTACTGCAGAATGATTATGGATGTGGGCACGGTTGCTCAACTTCGCGATGATTGCGCTGGCTTTGAGCGAATGCGCGTTACAACTATCGCCTGGTCGCCATCTCCGGAGTATCCTTCCACCCAAGCACCGCTGATCTAAAACTGCCCACAATCTGCTGATGTGCTGCTGCTCCGCTCTGGTGCCGCCACATATCTCGCATCGCCAGATGATGCGTTTATGGTTATCCGCAGTGACCTGTCGGCCTGGTACAAACAGCGATGGTGTCCAAGGCTCTTCCTTCAAGACTTGCCCACCAGTCACCAGACAGGCCCAAGAGCTTGCTCACCCTGGGCTTCTGCTGAGGCGCCCACGAAGTCTTACCCATTGCGGCGCTGGTCGGATGCCATAAAATTCATCATCTCTGCGACGTGGCGCCCAAATCGTAGCCTCCCACTGCGTCGGCGCCGCTTTCTTGACGTGGGCACCGAGCAATACATCTTCCTGTGCACATATATCATTTCCTGCTGTTTAATGGTTGGCGCCGCTGGCGGTCTCGCTGTTGCCGCCCGAGTCCTCTTTGCCTGCGGGGGTCTACTGCGGGCAGGGACCGCTTCGCCATCCAGAAAGGCTTCCTCATAGTGGTTGTCGCTGGCCTCGCCCTCGTCCCCGTCGAGGCGCCTGCGCGAGGTTCCCAAGGCTCGCTCAGGTCGAACTTGTGCGAGCGGATGAATGGCCTGGACCTCGCCGGGAAACGGTTGCGAGTGAACTGTGCGTCCAAGACCGCTGCTGCATCATGCGGGGCGACGACGGGCCATGGCGTCTCCTCCAAGAGGGCAAGGCGCGTTGCTGAAACCTCCATGATGACGTACGGCGTGCTTTCAATGCATGGGATGATTGCAGCGAAATGCTTCGCGTTCTGGACGTCCCCGCCTGAGCACCCCATGGGCGCGGCGAGAGATGCTGCGGCGAACGCAATCACCCGGCCTGTTAACCTCCACGTGGCAACGAAGATGTCGTGAACCCACTTGGTGTTTGCATGAACCCCCTGACCATCTGGCAAACGGGCTCTGGCCCCATGGCAACGCCGTCGCGAGATGCACTTTCCTCCCCAAGGTCCGCTGCAACAGCGCGGCAACTGCCGCGCCAGTGTCCATGCGCCGTGAGAGCGCCACCCATGCCTCATAGGTCTGCTTGCCAACAGGTATGTCCTCGGTCCTCTGAGGTGATGCTCGTACAATGCGGGACTGTCGCACGTGCTGGCACAATCCACAACTCACCGCTTGGCTGCCTCATTGCACCATGCTGGCCGTGGAATTCTCGGCGGCCTCATGGGCGCCCCCCGCTGTGCTTGACATTGCCCCCCCCCCCCCCCTGGAAGAAGCCAAATTGGCGGGGTCTGATGCAAAATTGCGGGCGCCAGCTGGCTAAATCTACTACTAAGGTGGCCGCCGCTCTCGAGGTGGGCATTCCGCTTCACCTTCGAAACATGGAGTGTCTGCCTCGAGTCGAA